GCTGCACTGCCCCGACTACTATAGTCGCCGTCATAGCTTCAAGCTTGCTTCCTAAGAATAAAATAGATTATTAGTGTATGTCCCTATCTGACGAATGCATAGAGAAATAAAAAAAATCCAAAATCTGTAGATAAATACTATCTTTGAGCTATTTTCCATGGTTAATTCGGATAATTAAAAAAGACGATCTTATAAAGAACATATTAAAATACGTCAATCAAAAACATTTTACATGTAATATATCGTACTTGCCATAAAAATGTTAATTCCGTTCATGTTAGGAATATTGCTAAAATAAGGAAAATTGTTAACATAGTTCAGGCTTGACGCAGACATATTTAATACACATTTCATAAAAGAATTTAGGAAACCTTTAAATGTTATGAGTATCCTAGCATATAAATCAGCATAAATAATTTCTATATCTTCCATAGCAGTAACAAATTAAAATGTGAAAAAATGCAAACATAGGACAAGTTTATTTCCAAAATTGTAAAGTAAAAGATAAACAGATCTTAACATGCAGTCGACAACTTAGATCAGGATAACAAATACAATAATAACCGAAAGACAACTTAAATAAACTGACTCTATTCATTCATATCTACCTGCCGGTAGCCGAGTGACAGGTTCTTAGTTTCCAAGTCTTTACTCTAAGGTAATTATTAATTAGTGCATGTTCGAAAGCACGATATATATTTTCAGTTAATTAATTGAGTTTCGATATACTCACCTTTTTATTTTCTTTTTTTGTTCAACATATACTTATTCCATTGCACGAAGTGGCATTTTCAAAGGAAAATGGTACATAACAATTTTAAATTTGAATTCATTTTTACCTGCACTTTGGAAGATCTCAACTGTGAAGAATATGACGGCGTCGATACCGCTGAACTGTTGGAAGATGAGCAAAGCGAAGCCGACGATAAGAGGCTTGATGACCGCTGACGATAGAAATACTTCTCGCGTAAATAAACTCTTTGGTTCGATTTCTGGTGCTTTTCTGAAACAAGTCACGGCTTAATTCAGTCTACGAAATGAAAGTCTCTACTAACAGTTATACTCAAGATTGTTTAATGGTTAAGCAGATTTTTATAGTATAATTACATGTAGTATAGTCCGTAGGAACCATTTAATCTCAGAGTAAGGCAGTAGGGGAGTTGATTAGGTTTTACAAACTAAGAAATTTCTCTAGAAAGGACATTGTAAAAAAACAATGGAAGTTATGCAATCTTACTCAGGATGTTCGTCTTCGTCTTTCAGTGTGGCAACAGCACGATTTGACAGCTGCAGCCATTTGATCGACGGCTCAGCGTCCAGGCCTCGCGCCTTCAGCCACACCGGAGACTCGGGCAATGGTAGGAGTACTATGAAGAGAGCCGCTAAGGGAAAATTCAATAGGTTAGTGATGAAATGCAGTGATTGTTTAACACTCACAACAACACCTCATTATCAAACAAATAAATCATTATCTCTCTTTCCTTATCCCACTCATATGGGGTCGTCTACCAAGTTTTCGTCCTCCTTATCAATATATCTAAACTCATTTCAGTCGTAACTCCTTTGTTTTTGTCGACTGTGTTAACGTTGCCTTAAAATTGTTATGTTGTAAAAAATTTTATTCAATACTTATTTATCCTTTCAAAACTGAATAACTTTCATTATTATACGACGGAAGGCGGTAGTACAAACGATTTATTCGATTGATATTATTTAAATATAGCGTATATAATTACGTGTTACAAAAACTAATGTAATTTAACGTGTCTTAATTACTTCCTATTGCTTTCAATCTAGGATTTTTTTATATCTGTAATGCAAGAATATTCAATATAATCAGCAAATGTAGAAGACAACCTAACTACAAGCAGAGGAAATTATTATATGCCATCCTGTAAATACTTAAATTTGATAATACTGCTAATTGATAATATGAATTGGGCTATATTCACCACAAAAGACAGCCGACAAAAAGGCAAGATGTCTCCAGTAGAGCCAGTTGCCGGCCACGTAGGAAATAAGAATGCCCAGAGACATAGAGAGCGTAGGTAGAGAGCCCAGCCGGCCTCGGATCTCGGGGTCGCAACACTCGCTTACCTGGACAACAAAGTAACATTCATAATATAGACAGAGTACCAAAAACAAAGGAGATTTGAAGAAATTATAGAGCGGACACTCGAATCCGAACACAAGATCGTCAAGTAGCCAAATACTAATCGAGATATATATTTTGGTTTATATTAGGATAGTGAAGCTAAACTAGCTGGCGCGATAAACATTTACGTATTTAATTCTTCTGTATTGGCATAGACTAAATAAGCTACTCTTATGCTAAATTCCAATTTGTAAAAAAGATATGCGAAAACGCGCCGAAATCGTTGACATTAGCCTATACAATTTCAGGGTTACGAATAAAAACACTTTTGATAATAAAACATGAATGAACAAAAAGTGCATAAACAAAGTACACAATAAGCAATTGAATCAAATAATTAGCGCATTAATGTTGTCATTAGCCACAATAAGAGTGTTTGTGTAACACATGAGACAAATACGTTTACACGAGTGTTGAATTAGACTCAACAGGTTCTTGTTTGTTTATAAATTGAACTGTATGTTTGTGTATCGATCCGTTTGAACGTAGATAATTTGTTACAATAAACTACCTTGTTTTCATTCAGCAATGTGGTATGAACTTGTAAATTGTTAGGCATTTAAAAATTACATTCGCATTACCGGAATAATTGCATATAATTGGATTTGTGAAATACCTTAGATCGATCACGATTTGGAAACACCACTAAGAACAGATTCTTTCCTGAGCCATTCCATGAAAACTTGAGGAAACCGAGTAAAAAAACTGGGGTTGATGATATATCATGCCGTTCTATAAATTTCCAGGGAATTCTATCGAACATTATCATTTTGCAAAGCCGTCTTCAATACATCTTTCAGATGTAGCCATGCTGTTTATCGCATTACATTATGTTATAAGATCTAAGATTATTTATTTATCGCCGAAAGTGGAGTTGAATGCACTGATATCATAGGGACAATGATGGATTTATGATTTGACATTTTGATATTTCAAGTATTTTTAAACTGTGTTTACCTTTAAGCAAGAGACTTATTTGTTATTATTAATAGTTGAATCTGGTGTTTCTATGTTGGTATGAAATATTCTTTAGTATTATTATTGAAGAGTTTTTTATATTCGGAACTCGTTATCATCATAATATGAGGATCTAATTAGGTGCTTATTAAAAATCTTATCGAAAAAGAACTCTGGTTTGTTTACAAACTCTTGTTTCTAAGTATTATTTCATTTATCAAAACACTTTTTGCACATTTTTTATCTGCTTGCAAAACGTACCTTACAATTGATTATACGCCGCTCGGTACGGGGCAAATCACTTTAACTTCGATTTAAAATTGTTAGAAACCAGATTCAAGAAATTTGGTCATTGACCTCTCATAAATTACTTGTTTTGATTTTTTTCTTCTGGTTTTCTTATCTGTCTTTTTATACCAAAGACAACAAACAAGCTGATACTGGGTATCTTGAAAATAAGAGCACGCACACCATTGACTAAACTATTTAGTCGCGCGATTCCTAAAGGCTTATATTTAGGACCGCACATAACTCGACGTTTAGTTTTGCAACTAAACAGTTGAATTGTCTGCGAAATAATCGACAACCGCAAAACAGTTCTGAGATAGTTTAGTCAAAGTTGATCACTAAAAATGGATGTTTGTAATAAGTTAAACGGTTGAACATCTTTAATGTTACTCACGTAAACTTGTGCAGGTGCTAAAACGAAGCCAACGCAGAGACCGGACAAGAATCGGCCGACAAGTATGAGAGCGAATCCGGGAGCAAAGCCTAGCAGTAGCCAACCACCGCCCCATAGCGGCGCGGTCATCTGCAAAGTGCGCTTGCGACCTGCTCGCTGCATCAGCGGCCCTGACAGCATGCTGCCCAGGAACGCGCCCAGAGGTGGAATTGCTCCTGCACACAAAAAATACATTAATCCATAAATACCAGTCGCAGTTATATTCAATCAACAATTAGTATCTTCTAATATGGATGAATTATTTTTTTGATAATGGTTATTATGAACATGTATTTAAAAAAAATGGCATGTGGAGTTACCATATGCCATTTTTTTTAAATACATGTTCTATCACGCAAATACTCAAATTTTTGCCCGCGAATTTTGTATGTATACGAGGGCGATAATTTCCTACCCGTTTCGATGAAATCTATATTAAATTACCCTACGTCTCAGTACTGAGCTGAAAGCCAATTTCATTTTTTTATTGTACAGGCATAAAGATGCATTGGTTGCGTTGCTAACTACACTATCAAGGGGAGTGAATGATTTATCTATAGTTACCTATCCATGACTTCTGTTCGCTGTGCTGTATGAAGGTGGGGTCGAAAGTCTCAATTGACGGTATCGCGGATGCGGAGTAGCCCCGCACCAGACCGATTATTAGAAACGCTAGAGACGCGCCGAAGGTCAGCCATAACTGGAACAATAGATGCATATTTACTATCAAAATAACTTACAAATAATTAGCGTAAGTACACAAAGTTCTTTGAATACCTTTAACATAGTGATAATAGTAACTGTGACCAATCCTCATTCAAATTCTAACCAAAGACTTCCTAAAACTGTGAACGCAAATATCTTATCTTAAAAAACTCTAATGTTAAATTACAAACGCAACTAGCTCTAACACAAACGCATAGTTGCTACAATACAGGAACATTTCATGAAAACGAGTTTAGCAAGTCAATTCATTGTAATTATTTTTACAAGTATGAAATAGTGTTACCATTAACATAGCCTTGCAGTAGTTCTAGTATCGCATTTTAAAAATACTGTTAAATTGTAATATGATCGGAATATTTAGAAAATACATCTGTGTCGCTTAAATCTTAATTGAGTTACAAAGATAAACACTCGATATTTGAGGGTAAATTCAAAGTTTGCGGTAGAAAATTCGATAATCGCATTCAAACCAATTTAAGCCTGATCAATATTGGCGTGGCCGGAAGCTCTGAATATAGACGTCGAACAATGAACTCAAAGTAAATTTTGACCACATTGTGTTTGTTAGTTAACTTTGACTTTTAATAGACAGGACCTGTCTGACCTGTCTGACCTTTCCCCCCCTTCTGTTAAGCAAAAATGAACAGTAAGTTTTTAACTTGCTTGTGTGCTCGTTTATGTTTAAATTTTTGAGCCACTTTGTAAAGACATTTCAATTTTATACATATGTGATCAATGCACATGTGTGTGTCTTCTTTATTTAATACAAAAGTGGTAGATTTTACGGCGGTTCATTGCCTAGTTCGTTTTTCTATAGCCAAAGTTATTTAAACAAACAAATCCCTTTCATACACATTGCCACCAAGGGGTCTTTAAACGCTGCAACCTTGCTTCGGTCACGTACAGACAATCTTGACAGTTTTATATTATGTCCATATTTACTAGTTACTGAAACTAGGAACTTACCTTATTTACATTAATATGTAGTTACTTCCTTAAATTTCGTAATCATTTTTAATTGAGTAATGCAAAAAATAAACTTTCGATTTTTTACTAAAACTGGGCCTATTGGAATCTGGCAAAAAAACCCGTTCTGACTTTCTAGTTAGAAACATTTTTATTTAAATTGTCTATGATAGAATTTGGTCAATAATGTATGCAAAAACAATTTAAAACTGCTTTTGTTTCCAGTTGATTGTAGTCTTTAGAAGAAGATTATTTACTTAAAAATTAAATATCAGTAATCCATACTGAAAATTTAGCTAAAATTAAAATAATTTCTATCGATGTAATCGATTTTTGAAATCGCATCTCTATCTACTCAACATTTAATAATGATTAATTGGTTTCATTCATCATTCATTCATGCATAATGCTCTTCTCCGGTTTTAATTGAATGATTGCACCTACTAATAAGAGAGTGAATTCAGTTTAAAGACCTTCTGAAGCAGTTAACATTTATAATCTCTTTTTTGTTACATGTTTTTTTTTCTTTTTTTTTTAAAGGGAGGCTACGACGATCAACTAATTTATATTTTCATTTTTAGACGATAAATCTTTTAGTAATTTTTGAACAAGATATTGGTCTCATTTCACTGCTAAATCTCTTTATTTATTAAACTCTATTTTATTTTATAATATCTCTTAAATTTGTTTTTTTCCTTGTGTCCTTAAAATGTCTAAAGTCATCATATCATAAAAAATAAAAACTAGTATATTTTTGCAAGGTTCTTAAATCAAGGAAAATTGACTAAAAAGTTACGGTATATCATAAAACAAAATCTGGTACCACAACGTAACTATTTATGCTAATCTTTATGTAATTTAGACAATTAAGGATATGACCCTAAAAGAATAGAAGATTGAATATATTATAAACCAAGTCAATAAAACTGTATTGCTTTAATCCTGTTAACCTTTCTCGACCAATAATCGAACTTATCGTCGATTTCTAACTCGTTTAGCTGCCGTATGGCTAGCCAATAAACGTCACTTAACATTCTACGGTGGAAATGGAGGAGAGGGAAACTAACTTTAGCACTATTTAACCTAATCACAAATAACAGTGAAACTGTCGACTTCTTTTGATGGCCAATGCAACCGTAAATTATGGCATCAAACAATCTATGCAATATAATCGACAAAATTAGGCTGCTTTCATTCACCTTTAATAAAAATGTAATCTGGTTGTCAATACTAAAATTGTTAAGAAAACTATTTATTTAACTTCTAAACTATGAAACTGCTTTTTTTTTTTATTAACAAAACGGCAAAACAAGAACTAGTTTTATCCGGTGTAAGATAACATACTCAAATAACATTAGAAATTGTTAGTGTTATATAATTTTAAAGTAAACACATTTGCACATTAGAGGCTGCACGTGTTAACACATACTCAATAATGAACCGTTTAAACTTTATACATTGTAGTTGTAGGCTAATATCGAAAGTGACCTTCCTCTCTTATCCGTTACCTTCGAGGAAAGACATTAAAATTCAATTATGTAAATAATGTATTTAAAAAAAACACAGACTGTCTATTCTTATTTTATTTTTTCTATAACAAAAGAGGGCAAACGAGCGGCGAGAACACCGAGGTGGTCAGCGACGCCCATGGACATCCGTGACACCAGAGTCCAGAGGAACTATAAATGCGTTGCCGGCCTTTGAGGAAATGATAGGCTCGCTTCTTGAAGTTTTATCTAAGTAAAACTAAAACATTAGAAACATCTGTAGTTAAATCCGCTAACACTGATTTAACAAAGTATTTAGTGATTCATTTACTATTTTTCAATGTTAGTCATAAAATATATAAGTATTTTTCCGGTAAAATATTCAAAATCGCAGTAATGTTTATTATTAGTTTAATGATAGCGGATACACTAAACGCCAAAAATAGAGTCACAAAAAATCTCCGACTACAATTGAAATTGGCGTACTCGTATACGTATTATAGGTATGTTACGATTTGAGCGGACGGATGGGAGTGATCACAAGTGATTTACTCGCAGCTCGTCTATTGAAGCCGCCGTTCTTGAAGTGTCCAAAGCACCGGTATTAAGGAGGGCGAGCGAATTACTTTACTATCGTTCACGTGATAACGATTTAGTCATTATATGAGGATCACGATAAAAATTGCAAGAATCACTCGTGACAGAGAATTCAGATAAGTGTCACGTGGAAAATTCACTGGGATAGAGTATGGTAATCGATTTATCTGGGTTTAACTTTATCTCCTTAATATGACAGCGGTAAGCTAACTTTCCAACACTAGAAACTAATTACATTGATTACGTAATGCCTTATTTGAATCCAAAAACCTGTCCACTATTCTGAAATATTCTTTGTTAAAAAATCT